TTACAGGCTTGAGCCACTGCGCCCGGCCCTAATTTTGGCTTTTGTTGCCATTGCTTTTGGAGTTTTAGTCATGAGGTCTTTGCCCATGCCTGTGTCCTAAATGGTATTGCCTAGGTTTTCTTCTAGAATTTTTATGGTTTTAGGTCTTACATTTAAATCTTCAATCTGTCTTGAGTTAATTTTTGTATAAGGTGTAAGGAGTTTCAGTTTTCTGCATATGGCTAGTCAGTTTTCCCAACAGCATTTATTAAATAGGGAATTCTTTCCCCATTGCTTGTTTTTGTCAGGTTTGTCAAAGATCAGATGCTTGTAGATGTGTGGTGTTACTTCTTAGGCTTCTGCTCTGTTCCATTGGTCTATATATCTGTTTAGGTACCAGTACCATGCTGTTATGGTTACTTTAGCCTTGTAGTATAGTTTGAAGTCAGGTAGTGTGATGCCTCCGGCTTTGTTCTTTTTGCTTAGGATTGTCTTGGCTATACGGACTCTATTTTGCTTCCACATGAAATTTAACATAGTTTTTTCTAATTCTGTGAAGAAAGTCAATGGTAGTTTGATGGGGAATAGCATTGAATCTATAAATTACTTTGGGCAGTATGGTCATTTTTACGGTATTGATTCTTCCTTTCCATGAGCATGGAATGTTCTTATGTCTGTTTATGTCCTCTCTTATTTCCTTGAGCAGTGGTTTATAGTTCTCCTTGAAGAGGTCCTTCACATCCCTTGGAAGTTATATTCCTAGGTATTGTATTCTCTTTGTAGCAATTGTGAATGGGAGTTCACTCATGATTTGGATCTCTGTTTGTCTATTATTGGTGTATAGGAATGCTTGTGATTTTTGCACATTGATTTTGTATCCTGAGGCTTTACAGAAGTTGCTTATCAGCACAAGGAGCTTTTGGACTGAGAGGATGGGTTTTCTAAATATACGAACATGTTATCTGCAAATAGGGATGATTTGACATCCTCTCTTCCTATTTGAATATCCTTTATTTCTTTCCCCTGCCTGGTTGCCTGGGCCAGAACTTCTAATACTATGTTGAATAGGAGTGGTGAGAGAGGGCACCCTTGTCTTGTGCTAGTTTTCAAAGGGAATGCTTCCAGCTTTTGCCCATTCAGTATGATATTGGCTGTAGGTTTTTCATGAATAGCTCTTATTATTTTGAGATACGTTCCATCAATACCTAGATTATTGAATGATTTTAGCATGTAGTGGTGTTAAATTTTATCGAAGGCCTTTTCTGCCTCTATTGAGATAATCATGTGGTTTTTATCATTGGTTCTGTTCATGTGATGGATTACGTTTATCGATTTGCATATGTTGAGCCAGTCTTGCGTCCCAGGGATGAAGCCCAGTTGATCGTGGTGGATAAGCTTTTTCACGTGCTGCTGGATTTGGTTTACCAGTATTTTATTGAGGATTTTCACATCGATATTCATCAGCAATATTGGCCTGAAATTTTCTTTTTTAGTTGTGTCTGCTAGGTTTTGGTATCAGGATGATGCTGGCCTTATAAAATGAGTTAGGGAGGATTCCCTTTTTTCTATTGTTTGGAATAGTTTCAGAAGGAGTGGTAGCAGCTCCTCTTTGTACCTCTGGTAGAATTCAGCTGTGAATCCTTCTGGTCCTGGGCTTTTTTTGGTTGGTAGGCTATTACTGCCTCAATTTCAGAACTTGTTTTTGATCTATTCAGGGATTCAACTTCTTTCCGGTTTAGTCTTGTAGGGTATATGTGTCCAGGAATTAATTTATCCATTTCATCTAGATTTTCTAGTTTATTTGCATAGAGGTATTTATAGTATTCTCTGATGGTAGTTTGTGTATCTGTTGGCTCAGTGGTGATCCTTAATCATTTTTTCTTGTGTCTATTTGATTCTCTCTTCTTTATTAGTCTGGCTAGTGGTCTACCCATTTTGTTAATCTTTTCAAAAAACCAGCTCCTGGATTCACTGATTTTTTTAAAGGGTTTTTCATGTCTTTATCTCCTTCAGTTCTGCTCTGATCTTACTTATTTTTTTGCCTTCTGCTAGCTTTTGAATTTGTTTGCTCTTGCTTTTCTAGTTCTTTTAATGTGATGTCAGGGCGTCGATTTTAGATCTTTCCCACTTTCTCCTGTGGACATTTAGTGCTGTAAAATGCCCTCTAAAAACTGCTTTAGCTATTTCCTAGAGATTATGGTAAGTTCTGTCTTTGTTCTCATTGGTTTCAAAGAACTTTTTTTATTTCTGCCTTAATTTTGGTACTTACCCAGTAGTGATTTGGGAGCAGGTTGTTCAGTTTCCGTGTAGTTGTGTGGTTTTGAGTGAGTTTCTTAATCCTGAGTTCTAATTTGATTGCACTGTAATCTGAGAGACTGTTACGATTTCCGTTCTTTTGCATTTGCTGAGGAGTGTTTTACTTCCAATTTTGTAGTCAGTTTTAGAATAAGTGCTATGTGTTGCTGAGAAGAATGTATATTCTGTTGATTTGGGGTGGGGAATTCTGTAGATGTCCATTAGGTCTTCTTGGTCCAGAGCTGAGTTCAAGTCCTAAATGTCTTTGTTAATTTTCTGTTCGGTTGATCTGACTAATATTGACAATAGGGTGTTAAAGTCTCCCACTGTTACTGTGTGGGAGTCTATGTCTCTTTGTAGGTCTCTGAGAACTTGCTTTATGAATCTGTGTGCTCCTGTATTGGGTGCATATATATTTAGGATAATTCATTCTTCTTCTTGTGTTGATCCTATTACCATTATGTTATGCCCTTCTTTGTCTTTTTTGATCTTTGTTGGTTTAAAGTCTGTTTTATCAGAGACTAGGATTGTAACCCCTGCTTTTTTTTGCTTTCTATTTGCTTGCTTCCTCTATCCC